ATTTTTTTTTTTTTTTTTTTTTTTTAAAGACCGGTAAGGGGATCTTAACCCTTGGCTTGGTGTTGTCAGCACCACGCTCAGCCAGTGAGCGAACTGGCCATCCCTATATGGGATCCGAACCCGGGGCCTTGGTGTTATCAGCACCGCACTCTCCCGAGTGAGCCACGGGCCGGCCCCAAGAAGTAAGGATTTTGAATGTTCTCAACACAAAGAAATGATAAATCTGAGGTGATGGATACGCCAACTACTCTAATTTGATTATTACACATTGTATGCACGTATTGAAACATCACACTGTACCCTATGGGGTACAGTTATGTACAATTATGTGTCAATTAAAAATAAGTGAATAAGTTAAAGAAAAAAATGTATATCGATGTGCAAAGGACCCAGCAAAGCCAAAATCCTTTGAAAAAAGAACAAGATGGGAGGATTTGCCATATCTGATATCAAGCCTTGTTATAAAGCTACAATAATTAAGAAGAGAATAGAGTTCAGAAACGGAACTCTATATATGTACACGTGATTTACTATTTACTATATGCACTATGTGTCAGGCACATAGTACAACGTGCTTTACATAAATTAATTGTTTTAATCCTACGACGCAGGTACTACCAATAACCCCATTTTACAGATGAGGAAACTGAGACACACAGAAGCAGTCGCTTTGTCTAAAACCCCCTGACCTTAACTTGCACACTTTTACAGCTAGAAGATGAATGCGCCCTTAAATGAATGAAGAAGGCCCTCTCTATCCCGCCCCTCCCCTACACACACACAACACGAACACACGCACGCACACACACACACACACACACACACACACACACAATGTTTCTTTTCTCCTTGGAAGAGCCTACTGCGCAGGTAGAAGAACTACAACTCCCAGCAGACATTGCGCACTCAAGCCTGCGCGCGCACACTCAAACCAGGCCTCCCGCCATCCGGCGTGCCCCGCGCTCGCTCACCGAACTACACCTTCCAGCTTTCACCGCGCGACCCGTGACACTCCGTGGACTGAGAACACGGAGCGGGGTTTCAACAGCTGCGCTGCACTTTCTCGGACCCGGCCCCCGACTCCAACACGACTCCACCATGGAGGAAGCGGACCGAATCCTCATCCATTCTCTGCGCCAGGCCGGCACGTAAGGACACAACCCCCAATCACTCCCAAATTCCCACATCCGGGATTCCAAAACCTAGGATCCGGTTACCCGGGAACCTTAAAACCCGGGACCTTGACATTCAGGGCTCCAACTTCCAGGACCCTAAGACCCCCACCCCCTTACACACACAGACACCGACACGCACGCGCGCGCACGCGCACACACACACACACCCATATATCAGGGGCCTCCCAAACCCTTTGACCCCGACATTTGGTAAACCCAAACCTCGAGGACTCAGACACCCTGAAACCTTACAACCTTGGAATCTCAAGATCTGGGGCCCTGAAATCTGTGGATCTTGACATCAATACCCTGGGACCCTGATATCTGGAGACCTTAAGACACCTGTGCCCTGAGAACCAGGGAACTTAAAACCCCAGGACCCTAAAATCTGGTGACATGAGCACTTGGTTGCCGTGACACACAAGTACTCCTCCATTTGAGAGTCATAAAAACCCAGAATGCCAACATCTAGGGAGTCTGATTTTTGTTTTTCTTGACAATAGAAGGTCTTGATATCCAGGGGTCTTGACACCCAGGGACCCTGACATTTGGAACTCCTGAAAACCTCAGCCTCCCAACATCTAGTCTTCTCAAAACCCTCACAGCTGAAAATATAGGGGTCCCTGACATGCAGAGAACATAATATCTGGGGACCCAGAAACCCAGAGACCATGCCACCTGGGGCCCTGCACATTCCCAGACCCCAGAAGTTTGAGGCTTTTAAGCATAGGGGAAATTTGAGGTTTTCTGAGCTCAGGTCCTTTCCAATACCATTCCCTTACACCAAGGTCTTAGGACCTGAGGATTTCCCTAGTTCTTAATTTGCCAAGTGGGAGTCACAGTCATCAGCACCCAGGATCTGTTTGGACTGTGGGCATCCTTCCCCTCCCAACCCCAGCATTAGGGCTTCCAGAAGGCTGCATGGCCTGTTTGCTGACTACTTCCCCCATCCCCATCGATCCTGCCCCTTTCTTCTTCAGGGCAGTTCCTCCAGATGTGCAGAGCCTGCGAGCCTTCACCACAGACCTGGTTGTAGAGGCTGTGGTTCGCTGCCTGCGGGTGATCAACCCTGCGGTGGGCTCTGGCCTCAGCCCCCTGCTGCCTGTTGCCATGTCTGCCCGGTTCCGTCTGGCCATGAGCCTGGCTCAGGCCTGCATGGTGAGTGCCCTCCTTCCTACACACACATCCTCTTCCTTCCTCCTTCACAAAGTAACCATGCTCCGTTGAAACTCTTGCCTTTCCTCTCTGCCACCTTCCCTTGTGGCTTAGAGTTCATTAGTGGTTAAGACTGCTGGCTCTGTGGTCAGACTGCTTGAGTAGTTCAGACCCTACCTAGCTCTACCACTTGTTGTGTGACTCTAACCCTTCTGGGTCTCAGTTTTCTTATTTGTGAACTGGAGATGTAGGGTTGTCATGAGGATTAAATAAGTTGATCCACTTTGCACTTGGGCTGCCCCTGTCTTCCACATTTTAAGTTTAGCGCCAAGATTTTTTTCCCCCTTTAGTATCCATTTATCAGTTCGAGAAAAGGCCCTGCTTGGGTCACATGCACACTCCCGAACTAATCACTGTGTACTCTGATTGGCCCAGCCTGCATTCTGGTGTCTTCCTCTTCATGTGCCCTGCTCCTGGCACCAGTTTCTGCCCTCAGCCACTTCCATATTTTGGCATTTGTCACTGCACACACCCCACTCCTGGTATGAGTTTCTGTATCTGTCACAACTCTTTGATCATAGATGTCAGAAAAAAACCAAAGTAAAGTAGCTTAAAAGCCAGTGGTTTTCACACTTTTTTGACCATGACCCTCCAAAATAAAATATATCTTACATTGTGACCCAGTACACACGTATGTATATAATAATGATTTTTGAGTGAGTATTCTGTGCCAGGCACTGTGGTAACATGGTGTTAACTCATTTAATTCTCATGACAACCTTCTGAGGTAGATACTGTTGGTATCTCTTTTTTCAGATGAAGAAAGTAAAGCACAGAGAGGTTAAATGATTTGCCTGAGGTCACACAGTTTGTAAGAGGCAAAGCTTGGGTTTGAATCCAGGAAGTCTACTTTCAGAGTCCTTGTAGCTCCAGACCAACAGCAACTCTCAAAAACAGGCTTTCTTTCTCTCCTGGCCTGTTTCCCAGTCCCCATTCAGAACTCTCTTGAGTCCTTTTACCCTGAGCTATTGTGTTGCTGGTCTTTTTTGCCTGTTTATTTTTAGGTACTCTTTATGTAATAGGTAGATTCACTCTTTGCTTATGATATGGACTCCAAATATTTCTTCCCAATTTGTCATTACTCTTTTGACTTTGTTTATTATATTTTTCTTTAAATTTTTTAGTTCTATTCAGAAATACCCATCTTCGCTTTTATGGCCTCTGGATTTTGAGTCATAGTTAGAAAGGCCAGAGCTTTAATCTTATTTCTAGCTGTCTGTAGCATTGACTATAATCATTCTGTGGCTCCCCCCAGAGCCCTGGAGACCTTGGGTATCCAGGGGGATGTTCGGAGGGTGGTGGTTAGTGAGAGAGTGGGAGCGTTTGTGGCCCAGGCCCAGGGCTCCCAGGGCAGGAGGATCTTCCCTGCCTAGCTTATGAGGTCCTCTTCCCAACCTCCAGGACCTAGGCTATCCCTTGGAGCTTGGCTATCAGAACTTCCTCTACCCCAGTGAGCCTGACCTCCGGGACCTGCTTCTCTTCTTGGCTGAGCGTCTGCCCCCTGATGCCTCTGAGGATGCAGACCAGCCTGCAGGTATGAGGTGACTGGGGCGTGGTGGGGGGGGCGGTGAGGGGAGAGGAGCATGTTCCTGGGGGGTGTAGGGACTGAGAGTTGGAGGTGGCGAAAAGGTTGATGGATAGGGGTGGGGGGTATGTCTCTTTGGGAGAGCTACGTGGGAGGATTGGGGGTCAGGGAGGGGATGCAGGGCAGGGGGCTGGGGGCTGGGCTGACCCTGGTGGTGAGGTGGTGCTGGGAGGGGCCTCTCTCTTGCTCACTCCACTTGAACCTCACAGGCCTCCTGATGCTCCTGAAACACGCCAGGCACATGCCAGCCCCAGGGCCTTTGTATCGCTGGGTTATTCTTCCCCCAGATATCCTCCTGGCTTACTCTCCTTACCTCTTTGAGGTTTCTATTCAGATGTCACCTCAGGGAGGCCTTCCTTTGACTGCCTTGTGTAAAATTATAGCCTCCTCTCCACAGTCCTCCCCCTTGCCTGCTCACTACCTGACTGTGGTCTGGATCGTACTTGTGATCCTGTCCATGATCTCGCTCCTCCACTAGCTTGCCGGTTCCATGGGGCAGAGACCTTCATTAGTTTGTTCCCTGGATAGCCCTAGTGTCTAGTACAGTGACAGGTACATAGTGGGTGCTCAGCAAGTGTTTGTTGAATGACTGAGTGTGAGAATGATAGCTTGATAGATACGTCTCTGGATAGGGCATCAGGAGCAGTGGCTGGTTTCCTAGAGTATACACTTCTGGATTTGCGACCTTGTCACCTAAATAACACTCCTTCCTCTCCCTCTAAAGGGGACTCAGCCATTCTCCTCCGGGCCATTGGGAGCCAAATAAGGGACCAGCTGGCCCTGCCCTGGGTTCCGCCCCTCCTTCGCACTCCCAAGGTGCAGCACCTCCAGGTGGGACTCCCCCCCCAGACTCCTGTTGATCTTCTCTTGTCCCACGTTGCCTTCCTTGCCCCATCTGGGTGCTCAGGTTTTTGGCCCCCTCCTGCTGGTGACCCCCATCACACTTCATCTGAGGCTCTGACTCTGCTCTCCCACCAGGGTTCAGCCTTCCAGAAGCCTTTCCATGCCAGCAGGCTGGTCGTGCCTGAGTTGAGTTCCAGAGGAGGTGAGGATGAGGCTATCAGAGGGCTAGGGAGGAGGGTGGGGGTGAGCTGACCGTGTTGCCACACGAGAGGGCTGGCTGACTCTATTCCTGCCTCCAGAGGCACGGGCGTTCCAGGTGAGTCCCCTGCTGCTACCAGCCCCCTCCCAGGTGCCCCAGCGTGCTGGAAGGGTGGCCTCACTCCTCGAACACCATGCCATCCAGCTGTGCCAGCATACGGGCCTGGAGCGCCCAGGGGATGAGGACTGGCTGCGCCGGACACCCCGCCTCCCACCCCAGGTACAGCCGACCTGCCGTCCAGGCGCCTGCACGCTGCTGCTCCTCTTTGTCACCCACTGGTCCTCTGCACTTCTGCTTTCCCCACTTTGTCTTTTCTCTGTCTCTGAAGCTGTCACTGATGCTCATTTTTTCTGTCTCTAGATTTCTGTGCTGTCTCTTCCTGTCATTGTCTTTCTCATTCTGTGGCTTTGCTGCCCCTCTTCTTATTTCTGTACCGCATGTCTCTCCTGCTCTGTCGGCCTCTGTATCTGTCCCCTCCCCCACTCTGTCTTCCTCTGTCTGTGTCTGTCTCTTTCTGTCCCCACCTCCCTGGCTACCATTTGTTCCATCTTGATCTCTGTTTTTATTTATTTATTCATTTATGAATATTCATGAGATACAAATTACTAGAAATTGCTTTTATACCCTGTGTTCCCACCCAATTGTCCCCCAACCACCTCTGTCTGTTTTTAAAACTTACAGGAATTTTTAAACATAAAAGTAGAGAGAATATTCTAATAAACCATACACACCGTTTTGCCAATCTTTCTTCACCTATTCTCCGTTGACTTTTTTTTTCTGTGTTATTTTAAAGCAAATCCCAGACATCATGTCATTTAAATTCTTAGTACTTATAACTACATTTCTTCACTCATAAGGACATTCATTTTTTAACATAAGCATTGGGCCATTTTCACACCTAACA